TTTTTTTTTGCACTAATAAAATTGTGGAGTTGTAAAGTATTTTGTCTGGTGTCAATTATATCATCAGTTATATCGTTATCGCAAATTTTCAAATGTATATCTTGATGAATATTATTGGTCATATCGCTCTGCTCTAGACACAATGAAGAACAATAAAACAAAAGCACAAATAAAATTAACAAACAGTGGGTTCACAATGAATATGCAGATTTAAACAGATGGGTTTTGAGTTGAGATTGAAACTGGGGGAGAGAACCAATGTTTCTTATATCTGGGGGTAGAGAGCTCCACAGCCTGGGAGCAGAGCAGCTAAAAGCTCTGCTTCCCATGGTGCTGAGGCCGAAGGAAGGCACACAAAGCTGGATAGTAGAAGAAGATCAACGTGAGCGGGCAGAAAAGGTAAATGGACCGATTCTCATATAGCGCTTTGCTACTCTCCCGGAGTACTCAAAGCACTGTATACAACATGCCTCATTCACCCATTCATTCAAGCACTTCTAAACTCAAGTGCAAACGAATAAACACTCACACTCCGATCAAGTTGGGGTTAGTATCTTGCCCAAGGATATTTGGCATGCAGACTGGGGAAGCCTAGGATCAAACCACCAACCTTCCAATCAGTAGCTGAGCTGCTCAAACACCTGAGCCACAGCCACCCCAAGGTAGCGCTTAACAGGTCAGAAACATAGGGAGGTGTGAGGTTATGAATGGAAGTGAAGGTGAGCAGAAGAAGTTTGTGTATTATCCAGAATTTCACAGGGAGCCAGTGAAGTTCCTGAAGAACAGGTGATGTGCTGGTAGGAGGGGATCCGGTGATAATGCGAGCAGCAGAGTTCTGAACCAGTTGAAGCTTATGGAGGGATTTTTGGAGGAGACCATGCAAGAGAGATTTGCAGTAGTCAATACGGGAGGTAACGAGACTATGAACAAGACGTAGCCTGGGTGGAAAGAGAAGGAAGCAATCTGTTAATGTTACGTAGATGGAAGTAGGCAGAACAGGTGAGATTATTGATGTGACATTTATAGGAAAGTGAACTGTCTAGGATGACACCAAGGCCTTTAACCTGAGGAGAAGGGAGAACTGTGGAGTTATCGATGGTGAGTGAGAAACGGTTTCTCCTTCAAAGGTTGGATTTGGTGCCAATAAGGAGGATTTCAGTTTTATCCTCACTGAGCTTTAGAAAATTAGAGGTGAACCAGGATTTTAACTCGGATAGACATTCTGTAAGGGAAGAAGCTGGGAGGGAGGAATCAGGTCTGCAGGAGAGAAACAGTGAAAGTGAAGATCAAATTTGCGGAAAATAGTACCAAGAGGGAGGATGTATATTATGAAGAGAAGAGGGCCTAAGACTGAACCTTGGGGTACACCAGAAGTGACCGGGAATAGACGAGAGCAGAATGATTTCAGATGAACAAACTGGGCCGGTCGAGTAGATATGATTGAAACCAGGCTAGCGGTGTGTCAGAGATGCCGAGAGAGGAGAGTCTGCTTAGAAGGACAGAGTGAGAGATGGTGTCGAAGGCTGAGCTCAGATCCAAAAGGATGAGAACGGTGAGAAGACCAGAGTCAGCTCTGATTAGAAGATCATTAGTGACTTTAAGTAAAGCAGTTTCTGTGCTGTGACATGAAAGAAAACCAGATTGAAATCTCTTGTAGATGTTATTGTTAACCAGGTGTGAATGAAGTATTTTAGAGATGAAGGGTGGATTAGAAATCGGACAGAGGTTGTTAAAGTTGTTAGGATCTAAAGAAGGTTTTGTCAGTATAGAAGTGACTGAAGCAATCTTGAATACGGAGGGAAAGATACCGGTGGTGAGTGAAGAGTGGACGATAGCAGAGATGAGTGGGAGTAAGGAAGAGAGGCAGGATTTCACAAGCCCTGTAGGCACAGGGTCAAGATGACACGTGGCAGGCTTTGATCTACATATAAACTCAGAAATATCAGATAAATCAGGGAAATGAAAAGTGGAAAACAGCTCAAAATAGAGAAAAGGTTCTGGAGAGGGGTTAGACACAACATTTGAACTGGGTTGCTGGTGGATGTTATTGATTTTTGTAGTCCAGAACAGCATCAAGGAGCTACAGGTTTCAGAAGTGAAGCGTTGGGGGGGTTGAATTTGTTTGTTGAGAACTGAAAACACCTCTGGTGCCGGTGCCTGCCTATCAATTTTAAATGCATGTAGACATTGAGGGTTCTCGGGAGGGGGACCTGCTGCTCTCTGGCAGGAAGCACCATGCCCTGCCGTGTTTTAAATGCACTTAAAGTTAATGTGTTAATGCTGACGGCACTATTAATAATTGTAATTGATCATATCCTCGGTATGATCAATTACATCTCCAACAGTTGATTCTGTTCATCTGGACGTAGTGTTTTCAGTGGGAGAAATGTTTCATCATCATCCAGGTGACTTCTTCAGTCTCAGCTGACTGCAGGTTTCCCCAGTAAACAGTACATTTGCACAATGACTGAAACCAGCCCACTGAAGGAACAATGGGCTGGGAGGTCAGTTCCTTAATCATGATTATGCAAATCCTCATGACCATTGATCAACAACCACTGATCAAAGCCCAATGATCAATGGCCATGAGTACCATTCACAGAGAGTTGATCAATCAACTAAAAACGCTACGTCCAGATGAACAGAATCAACTTTTCGAGATCTTCATATGACGCTTCTCTTTCTCGCTGTCTGTCAGTCACGTGATCACAGAAACGAATCACAGCAGAGCAGCAAAGAGTGTGCGTGTGTGCAGGAGAGGAGCCGAGCAGGGAGAGGTGTTTTTACGTGAAACGGGAGAAAAGTAGTGAACTTAGAGGAGAGGGACGAACTAAAGCATCGATCATAAACCACTACCAACGTCCTGATCGATATCTGCATCGATCTGCCCACCCTTGTCTCCTGGATCGTAGCTGAGATCAGCGTGAACCACGTGGGTCTCTGCTCCCTGATCTGTTTCCTGTGTTTGGAAAGAGTTGCAGCTTCATCGCGGAGTTTCTCTCGGTTTGTGGGCTCATCTAAAGGTAAGCACCGAGCTAACTTTACTGTGAGTTCAGTTCATGTTGAGTTTAGCTCCTGAATGAGGTCTTCTGCTGCTCTCCTCGGTGTCTGTTCACAGTTTATTGTGAACACGTTGAGAGAAGAGTGAGAGAGTGTTTGGAGAAAAACACCAACTAATCATTAGCTCAGCATGCTGGGAGAAGTTGGAGCAGGAAAGTCTTTTCATTGTCCCTGCAGCTGTTTTTCTGCCTGCACCAAACTAGGGGTGGGTTTTTATAATCGATTTATCGATTACAATTTATTCTGGCTTGGATAACGTGAAATCGATTCATTAAAATCCTGAATCTATGTTTTTAATATAAATTTATTTTGCCCGAAATGCCAGAATCTCTGGTGAAAGATCACAAAATTTCAATAACCACCAAACAGCTAAAACAATAAATGATAAATAAATAAATAAATAAATAAATGAGAGCAGGAACACGGATTCTGCACAAAGACGTAAACACAAAGGGCGGATCAGGATCAGTGAGACGTCGCCTTTCTCACCTGACGGCACGGACACGGTCGGCGCTGATTCTGATGCGTCGGCGGGTCCGCGCTTTGTGTTCACGCTCTTTTTGCGCCGATTCTAAAGCTGTTAGTTTGATCTCTCACCAAACAAAAATAAAACTGACTGAACCAGCAGCAAAGGAAGCTCCAAACTACGCTTCACATAAACATCGTCATGAATTCACTCTGACTGTTACTGTTTTGCTTCCACCACAATAAAATCGCACTTCATGCACAGCTCTCTCTCTCTCTCTCTCCTGCATTATTCGCTCGCTTGTTACGCACAAGTCTACCGTTATTCACAGCCTGTCGGCCGCTGTTCTTTCCCCCGTTTACATTCTTCTGAAAAGTAAACCTAATTCATGCCGTTCAATACTGAACAAATTTAAACTTTTTAAAATTATGCAAAATGCAAAACGCTGTGTCTCTAATAAAACCGCTGTAACTTCAGAGGTGACGTTCATATGTTGATTAATGGTTTTCTTTCGTTTTTGACGTACTGCAGAATACTTTTATAAACTCCAAGAACAGGAAAACCTTCATGTTTTTCTCTGTTTTATCTTCAGCTACTTTGACACAAAGGTATCTGCTGTGACGCTCACACCTTTGATAAAGTCTTGCGTGTGTCAGCTTCCTTTTTATAGATACAAAAATATGTAAATGTACTGATCTGAATTATAATATTTCTGACTGTCAAAATTTCCCAGATTCGAATCGAATCGAATTAAATCAAATCGATTCTAGAAATCAGTGACGATACCCAGCCCTGCACCAAACCTCTACAGCCTCATTTCTATTTAAGTGATAACAGGAAGTCAGAGCGATCTGCTGCAGTATCAGGGTCACTATAACTTTATTGTCCAGCTGCTGTGGATGAACACATGAGAGGAAGTGAACTCCTACAAAGTCTCATTTTAATGAGTGTGGCTGCTGTAAAGTGATGCACAGGAAGATGTTAAAAGTAAACAGTGTTCATATTTGAAAGCACAGAGAATAAAAATATATTGTGGTGGTTAATGTGCAGCTCTTGGTGATTTGGGAGAATAAGAATGGTTTTAATCATGTTGTAGATTGAATGTTGGACTTTATTTAGTTTTGTGTACAGAAGACAGAAGTTTTTCTACTTGTGGTTTATGATGGAGACTCTGAGTCTGGTCCAGCTGTTTTACCAAACCATGATTTATTTATGTAACACTTTAAAAACAACACATGGCTTTGTGAGGGTTCTGTTTCTTGAAGAATCTATTTAAATCTCTCATGTATGGAGAGAGGACCCATGGAGGGTGGAGAAACTGTCATGTGGTGATCAGGTCCAGGCCCATGTTTTATAATGACGGGGGTGGGGTGCTAAGCTGTGGAAAGTCTTGGGTGGGGGAGTAACAGGTCATTATTGGTAGAATCCGCAGCAGGAGCTGTTCAGCTGTGAATGGTTGGTGCAGTGGGGTCTTTAGGTCTGTGGTTGGTTCACCGTCTGATTGTTTTCCAGACAGAAGCAGAGTCATTAGCTGAAAACAGGTTTTGGAGTTTAGCCTCACTAAAGCTGAACTTTGCAACTGTCTCTGTCCCCACTCTGAAACACTTCCTGCCATGAAGTTCTGATGAAGCACCAAACTGCAGTTACTCAGTCAGTGGAGGTTCAGTAGTGCAGTTTCTCACCACTGTTGTTAACTGGAGGCTGACACACTGACTGAAGACATTTAGTCTGAGTAGATTTGAACTTTCCTTCTTCATTGTTTCCATCTTGCTTTGACTGCAGCTGTAACAACACTGATTCCAGCAGGATTTGTAAAAAGCATTTTGACAGACACACAAAGCTGGACAGCTTTTGTTCTGAGTCCAAGATCTTAGAAAGAAAGTGACTGGACGTCTGTAAGCTTTTTTTAAACGTTTCACCTCTCATCCAAAAGTGGCTTTTTCAGTTCTAAAATCAAATGGTGGAGAGTCCCAGGCATTTAAACCCTTGTGGGGGTTGTCAACTGAAAGGGTCGTCGACCCACTGTTGACCATTGATCTTATCACAAGAGCCAATGTGTGGAAAAATGTGTGTGTCAGCAGGTCCTGAGTGAAACCATTGTGAGACCCTGTTTCACTCTATCATGTAACTCGGTGCTGTCCCTGTTAAAGAGCCAAGAGCCTCTCTTTCCACTTCCTCCATGTAAAATAAATTGATGAGATTTTTTGCACTAATAAAGTTGTAGAGTGGTAAAGTATTTTGTCTCATCAGTTATATCGTTGCTGCAAATTTTCAAATATATATAGTGATAAAGATTTTTGGCCATGTTGCCCTGGTTGCTTCTGGGGTTTCACCTTGAAGCTTCATAGGTATTGTTGTCACTGAGTGTAGTAATGTTTATTTGCTCTGCTTCTTCTTGTCAGGGATAAAATGCATATCTATACTTTTGTGTCCCAGCTGAGTAACAGGAGGAGAAGAGTCTGGTGGAGCAGCAGAGGAACAGTTTCAGCCATTTGGACTCAGCTCAGCCACTACAGAGGAAACAATGACTTCAACACAGGAGGTGAGAAAATATCTCAGTTACACTGTTATTGAAACTGTGCACAGCTGGATGTTAACAGCAGCTTTATCTTTTCCATCCTGGGCTCCTCCACACATACAGAAGCTGTATTCACAAACAAAAACAAAGATCATATTTTATCAGCGCACGTTGAAAAGTTGGACTCAGAATTGATCACACAGTAAACATTTTTCTCCTGTGATCAATATTTCTTCAATAATGTAATTTTGATTACAACTCTCATTCTGTAACATGATTGTAATGTGAGACTATCACCAGAAGGTGGTGATAACACACCTACAATGTGTTTGGTGACATCTATGGTAATAACAAGACCAGACTAAGCAACCTGGTTAAAGTGTCTGGTCAGATTTCAGGGAGGTCTCGGGTCCAGCTTGTGGACGTCTATAACAGGCAGGTGCTGAGGAAGGAAACCTCTGTCATGTTGTGTTCAGATCAGCCTCTAATGACTTTCAGCTGCTCTCATCAGGTCGTTGTTATAAAGAGACATAGATTGTCTTTTGTACCAAGTGCTATTATCATGGTTAATAACACTAAACCGTAAGTGTTGTTGCCATTGCACACTGTACTTTTTTTGGTGATAAAATTTAGGTTGTTGTCTTGGGGCTTATTTTTGTGTTTGTTGTGTTTGTTTGTTTTTATATCTCTGCATGGACAAATCAATCTCCCACTGGGGACAATAAAGTTACCATTGTCTGTGATTCCACTCATGGAGGGAGTTTCAGTTTGTTCCACGACTGCATTTCACTCACCAGCGCTCTAGACTAACTGCACTGGTGCGCCTAACTTTGTTTCTTAGGTGCACCCAAATTACTTGTTCATTTAAAACAAAAAACAAAAATTGCTGTCCATACAGACAATATTGATTTGTAAATGATTAACTAACAATCTTTTCAACACAAAGTTCTTTATCTTTGATCTACAACAAAGATAAGTTACTGAAAAAGTAACTTATCTTAGTGCTTAAAGTGCTTTGGCACTCTTTGGTTACAATGTAGACAGTGTTAAACTTAATCATCACGTCGGCCTCACCTGACGACCGGTTTGCTGCTGCCTGCCGCTGAAAGGCAGTGGGGAGAGGGGGCAGTGCATTTATCGCAGCATATAATGTGTTTTCTGGATACACTGTGGGCAGCACGGTGGTTAGCACTGTTGCCGCACAGCAAGAAGGTCCTGAGTTTGATTCCACCATCAGGCCGGGGTCTTTCTGTGTGGAGTTTGCATGTTCTCCCCATGTTTGTGTGGGTTCCCTCCGGCCTCCTCCTCCAGATACTCCGGCCTCCTGCCCACAGTCCAAAGACATGCAGTTTGTGGGGATAAGTTAACTGATAAATCCAAATTACCCATAGGTGTGAATGTGAGAGCGAACGGTTGTCTGTCCCTGTGTGTTGGCCCTGCGACAGACTGGCGACCTGTCCAGGGTGTACCCCGCCTCTCGCCCTCTGACAGCTGGGATAGGCTGCAGCACGCCTGGCGACCCTGGAAAGCAGAAGCGGATGGATGGATACACTGAGCTTTTTCAGCGTTCAGAGATTGATGGTTCCGTGTCAGAGCTGGCTATGAATTTCAGAAGGATCAGGCCTTAACAGAAAAGTTAGCAATAGTTCTTTTCCTATTACAGCTACATCCACGTCTGTCGTGCCTAGGCCACTCACTAGGGCTGGGTATCATCACTGATTTCTATAATCCATTCGATTCCGATTCACAAGGTCCCGATTTGATACAATTTTGCCTCAGACAGTCAGAAATATTATAATTCTGATCATTTATCAGTACTGATACATGTGTGACTTCATCAGAGGTGTGAGCATCACTGCAGATGTCTTTGTGTCAAAGTAACTGAGGATAAAATAGGGTTATCTGCTTTTTATGGCAGATGACCTTTAAAATATCCTGCAGTCGACCAAAAACTGAAGAAAACCATGAATCAACACATGAACATTACCTGATGCTGCTGCATTGAAGCAGAGCAAAGTTACAGAGGTTTGATTACAGACACAGCTGAGCGTTTGTAATCTGTCATCATTTTAAAAAGTTTGCATTTGTTTGCTATTAAACAGCAGAAATGAGGCTTTTCTGTCAGAGGTCACTTTTGGAAAACAGGAATCGAACGCCTGGTGGCAGCGGTGCGGCCTAGGACTTTTATGTTTTTTGTTGCACCATTGAGAAATTAAGTCGCATCAGATTGCTCACACTCTGTGACCCTGCTCACTGCCTCTGTTTGTATCTCTGTCACTGCAGGACCAACATGGAGCGAGAAGTCAGCGCTCTCAGGAGGCCGACAAACCTCACAGAAGAAAGAAAGAGAAAACATACAGCTGTGACGAGTGTGGGAAGGATTTTACTCTATCTGGAAACTTAAAAAAACATCAACTCATCCACAGTGGAGTTAAAGCATTCAGCTGTGACTTGTGTGGAAAGTCTTTTACCCAGGCTTCAAACTTTAAAAAACACCAAGTCATCCACAGTGGAGTTAAAGCGTACAGCTGTGACATTTGTGGAAAA